ATATAGATATATGTGCATATGTATGCATATGTGTATATCTGCGCATACAAAAAATAAAAAATCTGCAATATCTGTAACTATAATGGATATTATAACCATTAATCATCAACAATAAAAGTATGAAAAAGAAAAGAAATTAAAAATGGTGTCTGATCTTCCGCAGCATCTCACTCTCAACAGTGTGGGACTTCGTCCAGAAAACCACACCAGACTTCCACGCGCTCGCGCCAATCGCTGGCAGCTTGCGTTTCAACTCAGTCCAGCTCTCTCCAGATGGGAGGGGTTGGACTTCAGAGCTGAGACCAGATAATCACAGCTGATCTCTGACAACCTGCAGCGACTCAATCTGAATAAAGAATAAAAGATGAAGATAAAAATCATTTATAATCCAATCAGATGTGTTCAGGTTTTAAATGTGTAGTTCAACATTACTATGTCCTAATCAATGAGCTTTTCTCTAAAATGAGGGACTTTGTCATTGTGTTATTGTGGATCATCATAATGTCAGCCTTCTACAGACATCACAACATTTATAGATATATCCATGTTAACACAGATTAATAACATTCGCCTGGTCTCCCTCAGTTATCAAATATATAATCTATAAAATATGTGGTTTAGATTTAGACTTCATCACCACAGTTATCTCTATCAACACACAGCTGACTGACTATGAGCTTCATCCTCAATTATCTTTATATTGAATGTGCACTGAGCAAAGTGAAGTTCTGTTAATCATAAATATAGTCTAGTATCTTTGCTTACAAATATAATGTAGCTATAATTTATGTTCCTGTTTATTGGCTGAGTCAGAACACAAAGTGATATTATTTTCTGAGTGGAAGCATCATTACATGCTGAAGTGTCACCTGCTGTTGGTGAAGGAAAAGACACAATACTTTAAACACCTGTATTTGGAAATATGAAGTATGCTTTGCACTTTGTGTGTGGTCCTGTATGTGAGTTTTAGTGTGTGTGTGTGTGTGTGTATCTGAAGGAGAGAGAGGGAGTTTATGTAGAAATGTACACGTTCCTTTAAAATACTATTCTGAAGGTTATATATTAAAAAACATTTAAAATGTCAATTAGGTAGATATACACTGTACAAGAGCAAAATACATGAACTGACCTCAGAGTCTCCAGTCTACAGTTTTTACTCTCCAGTCCAGCAGACAGCAGCTTCACTCCTGAATCCTTCAGGTTGTTGAGACTCAGGTCCAGCTCTCTCAGATGGGAGGGGTTTAGCTGAACTGAACTTTACGCTGTGGTCTACATAGAAAGAGAAAAACTGCTAAGGTGTATCAGTTTTAAGTACACCTAAAAATATTAAAACTGGATCCCAGATAGACAAGAATTTGTTTTTGGTATTTCATCTTCTCTATGAATTGCATCAGATCGCTGAACCACAAAGACGCTTGAGTTGGATTTTCCATTGTTATTATAATCTTCTCAAAAATTGCGGCTGCTGCTGGGTTGAAAATCTATATTATGTTCCTGTGATAGTGTTTTAAAGATCTCAGACCAGTATCTGCATGCTTTCATTTTTCCATTTTTTGTCTTTGATGAAGGAGGCAGCGACCAAACAACATAGCAATCATCAACAAAGAATCACTTGGAGCTGATGAGTGTGATATATACAGTATATAGAATTTAAAGCATCACGCCTAGTCCATGCGCGAGCAGTCATTACATAATTGCAGAAGTTTGCAGACGCACACGAGTTTGAGTCTGGTGGGAAAACTATGGAGCTGACCTCACACTCAGGACAGACGATCCATTTGAGTATTGAAAAAGGGGACAAGATACGATACAAGATAACATTTGACTGATTTTAATATGCAAATGAAACATCTTGTGAAACAAGAATACGAGAAAACTAAATAAATCTTTTATTGCATTTCGATTAATCACAGTGTCTTAACAGGCAAGATTGACCACGGGATAACCTGGTGCACATGCTACACATGCCCAGAAGCAGAGGCAGAAGAGGATGAGATCAAGGAGGGGTGAAAAAGCAATGGAATAATAATCACAGGGAGGAAGAGAGAGAGGCACGGAGGGGTAAGAAAGGGTACGAGGACAGAGAATGCATTTGTTTTCCATTCTTTTTAATTTTGAAGTGTCTTAAATAACAACAATACAATGTAGAAATGCTCTGTTACCTGCATTAAAAAAATATATTAAAAATAAGTAAAAGTATCAGCATCAATAGTTATTCATTGTGTTCATCTCTTCATGTTGCAGTTGGTAAAAGTTAAAAGTGCTCATTTTAATGAATTTATATATATATTATATATTTTTATATATGGTATATTACTTCATATACTGCTGGGCAGATTGTGAATTTTCCTCTTTGGATCAATTAAGTTATTGATATAATGTATTTCTTATTATATATTATATTATACAGGTAGCAAAAGTTATCTAATAAATATAGTGGCGTATAAGTATATTACTATGTATAAAGGAGTAAATACTTATTGACTGGCATTGTTTAATATTCAGTCATTGATTTTCTGTTTGTTTGTCGTATCACAGTAACAAATAATAAACCTGTTAATTGGATTTGAGGTTACAAAAATGGAGGAAAGAAAAAAATAACTAAAAGTAAACATTAGAAATTAAACCTCAGTGTCAGGAACACTGAGGTTATTACTGATATATATATAATAAGGACATATATGTAATAATTCTGTATTATTAAAGTAAGTATACTGTATATATCATACTATATAACATACTGTAATGTTTACATATGTGACTTATATTTAGAAATACGACATATATATTTTATATTCAGATATATATCCATGCAGCAACAATTGCATGGATTGGTTGTAGAGGTTCTTGAGGAGGTTGTAGAGGTTCTTGATGAGGCTGTA